AATGAATGAATAAAGGTCAGTTCCATCCATCAAGAAAACTAAGATTATAAAATTTGTTCCTTGAGGAGGGGAGCTATCTTTTCCATGTTTCATAAAACCTCTCTTGCGCATAACTTCCAAGTTACACCAAAATCTCTTTAAGTTTGAATTACTTTGAAGTTATATTCTCTGTCTCAGTCCCTCCTTCTGGTCTCACATCAAACAGATACGCATTAAAACTTTGATTCACAGAAATTGTGACAGAGGTTCTAAATGTTAAGATATTCCCCCAGATACTTCTAGTTTTATCATTTTATGTCTTTTATTATACAAAGTGGAAGTATAATAACTGTGTTTCTGGGAAAATAAAGCAACCCCTCATGAGGTGCCTCATTTCTATCACTTGCAATAGCTGGGGTGGGAATACACCCCAGAATCCTCACAAGGATTAAGTGAATAAAAACATATATTTAGAATAATATTGCCTGGGGCATAGAAAGTATTCCACAAATGGAAACAGTTAACTGTTATGTGATGGAAAAACACTGGACACAATAACCTATGGGACAGGGTAACTTGTTTTCTTGTCACTTTTAACTAGGGTGCTTTGTCAAAAGAGACATTAAAAATCTCTCTTTCTTTATAGAAGCGCAAGCAGACATTTTTGACTCATGTTTTTCTTGCTCCTATTTGAAAGTTGACACTACTTGTTCAAACTGGTGGGAAAAGCCAACTTAAAGAACTCCTTTCTTTGTTATCTTCAACTGGGTGACAAGAACCCAAGTCTCTAAGGATGAACTCCATTGAAGAAAAGGTGGATTCTGATAGCTGGGACTTTTAGGTCTGATGATAGTTAACACTTTCACTCTAATCACATTCAGCCTCCCTGAGGCAAAAACCTTGAAAGGGAGAAACATCCTGGGCCCACAGGGAGGATGTGTGCTAGGACCAGAACTACTGAGTGCTAGGACCAGAACTACTGAGAACAATATGTTAACTAGGTGAAGCCATGAGGCAGTCACCTGAATTAGAAACCATGGGGCCTAGACAGGAGTATCTTCAAAGCAATACCATGGACTGAAGACCAAAGGTATCTACATTCCAACCAAACCCCCATCCTTTTTCCCAGGCCCTGGTACAGTTGAAGTAGTCAAGTATGCTCCCCTGATTAGTACAGAACACTTCTGTTCTTTACAGGTGGGTGCTCCAAATCATATGCCATTTTTGTACTCCAACTAGTATGAAACAATCCTTATCTATTACATACAGAACAAAATATTATTAAATTTGTATTGTCATTGGAAGATGTTTCACAAACACAAAAGTTTTTCTCAGGTCATATATCATCAAAAGTACACCTGTAATGTACTATCACTTTGAAATGAATACATCATGAGATGGCAGATAGTTCAAAAAACTTCTATTAGTATTTGCACACCATAGTTCTGGGAATACACAATGATACCACTTGTTCCATAAGAGGATATCCACAATTTCAAAAAAGCCTCCACATAACAATCCACCTATCCCACCCCATACCGATTCACAGAAACATCTCTGCTCTCTTGCAACAAAAGACATAAAAATATCACATTGCTGGGCTCTTATTCTCTGTGTCTCTAGTTGGTGTCTGTTCATCTTCTACATGAAAATCCTCCAGGAATGAGACCTGTGGGAAGCAACATATTTGTTAAATAAGTTAAGGCTATATTCATATTATAGTTGTTTAAAAATGATGTTGTAAAAGAGTATATACTTAGGGAAAAAAAGTAAAGGCTACAGAAAGCATTATGGTAAGAAACTCAATTTCTGAAAGAAAATGTATGTATGGGCAAACACCATTAGGGATATTCACTAAAATGATACCAGCAAGTTAACTCTGGATTATTGAATTAGAGATGATTTTAATATTTATTTGCTTAAAATCTAAATTTTCTGGGTTTACCAAAATCAAGATGCATTATTTCTATAGTATAATTCCCTCCCCCTTAAGAAGTAGATACTTCTTTTGAGAGAAGTAGACAATAAATAATAAATGTAAATAACCAACAGCCTAAGACATCAGAAATGGGACATTTAAATTGGTTAGTATATTTTAAGTTGCCACTTCAGAACCTGGGTTCAGGTTAGGAATATGGTTTAATGACAGAGCGTTTGACTACCATGTTCAAGGCCCTGGGTTCAATCCTCAGCAACACATACACATGAATAATTACTAAATAAATACTCAATGGGACCTGCATACTTGGGAAAGGACAAATCAAGGGAAAGGAGAAATCTATGGAAAGGCTTTAGATTCTTGGCAGAGCACATGATTTCTTTGAAAGCCCAAGACAAATAACAAGACTGATAACACTGTGGTTTTCCCTGATGCCCTTGCACTACCATTGGTATATTCATACAGCCTTACAACTTAAAACTAGGAGCTTGATAAGAAAACAGTGCATTTATTTAGAGAGAGGGAAAAACCAAGAACCATGAGCCACTGGGCCAAGCAAATCTGGCTGTCCCAAGTCAGTGAATGAGAACTAGTCACAGGATGATTCAGTGGTGTGAATCTGTGTGGAACTCAGCATTGGACAGATGGGAGAAAATCAGTATCCCTGGAGATGTGCAAATCAAGAGGAACAGATGTGGAGAGGTAGTTCATACTGAATGACATGTCATTTTAAGCTTGGTTATTTTGTTTCCTGACCTTTAAAAGTAGTGTCATAATTAACATACAGTCAATGGTTACCCCAGAGAGGCTCATTTAGGGGGAAAAAAAAAAAACTGGTTAAAGTTGATCCAAATGAAGTTAAACTAGGAAAGCTTTTTTATTTTTATTTTTTCCTAATCCTGGGGTACTCGACCACTGAACCACATTCCCAGCCCTATTTTGTGTTTTATTTAGAGACAGGGTCTCACTGAGTTGCTTAGTGCTTCTCTTTTGCTGAGGCTAACTTTGAACTCTTGATCCTCATGCCTCGGCCTCCTGAGTGGCTAGAATTATAGGCATATACCATTACGCCCAGCAGAGAAAGCTCTTTGGTTACCTCCAAATTTCAAATTCTATGTTCAAGTCGGAAGAATAAGGTGGACATTTTCCTCCTTAGTTTATTTTCATACTTCTCTGTCTCTGTCTCTGTCTCTTGTTTCTGTCTCTCTTTAAAATATTCTGGCCTTCCTCACTAAATTTTGAGTTCTTTTAAGCCCTTATTTAAATGGTGATTGAGAAAACATTGTTTTGGGCCACAAGTTAAAACTTAACAGTGCTTAAAAATTGCTGAATTTATTATTTTTTTTTCTAGCATTCCCAAGGAGTTTATCTGGGCAGACCCAGAGCACCAAGGAGTGTAGGTCTCTGGGGGGTAAAGCATGGCTTGTGCTGGCAGCACAGCACTCTGGAGGGCAGTAGGAACGTGATGTTGAATTGCAGAACTGCTTGAGCTCTGGCCAGCAGCCACTTGCTGGCTGTAATCTTCTTCACCTTACTGCTTGGGACAGAACAGGCCTGGCTGCCATGTGAGTACTCTTGTCTTAGTCTTCAGAAAGGAAGAGGGGCAGCGTGACTGCCTTTGCAGGGGTCAGGTCACTGGGGAAAGGGCCTACTCAATGTAGCTGACACATCCTCTCAGGCATAGCAATTGCCTAGGTTCCCCAAATTAGAACTGATTGGGGGACTGGGTGGTCACAGTCTCTTGACCCAGCATATGCTGACCATGAAGGGTATAAAACTTCTAAATTCATTTTGAAAGGCAGAGCTATAACCTTCCACAAAGACTACAGGTTCCTCTTCTTGTTTGTACCCCTGTTTAAACAGTACTATAAGAAAGCTGTAAATCTGGTAGCTCACTTAAAGAGGGTATCAAATAGGACTTCTCAATTCTCTCAGTGTTTATGGAAGAAGACTAGAAGGTAGAGGGAGAAGGCTGAGAAAGAAGAACTCCATCTATTGAGAAAGAGCATGGTATAAAGTTAAGAGCCAGATTCTGGCCCCATAACTGTATGAACTTATTAGCTTAACCACATATAATTCCCTCAGCAGTCCTATGAAGAGGATATTACTAATGTCATTCTCATTCCCATTTTATAAGACAGGGGACAGGTCCAGTACATAAAGCTTTTAGAACAATACAGGGAATATAATTGTTGCTATATGCATATCAATTAAATGAAATTAAAGAGGGGACTTAAAGACACAATAGCTAATCATCAAGACTATACCATGTCTATTTCCAAAATGCCAAGTCTCAGCTGATGCAGCTTCCAAACCAAGAAGCTAAGTCTTCCATCTGAAAAACCAAGCAGAGTCACCACAATTAATTTCCAGACTAATAATTGAGATTCTCATTTGTTTCTTCACACAACATGCTTTTAATGATCAATTTCATTTTTTTAAAATATTCCCAGTTTGGGGACTAGTAACCGCAGATAAGATGATACCACTCATTATTTGATTTAGCATAATTTAAGCTGATACATAGATAGTAATATTCCTTTAAAAGTATTCTGCTACAATATTCTAGAACAGGAAGGGTTTTTTTTTTGTTTATTTGTTTGTTTGTTTGTTTGTTTTTGTAAAGGGCCAGAGAGCAAATATTTTAGAATTTGCTGGCCATATGTTACTGTTACTGCTGCTGCTGTTTTTTATAACTATATGGCCAACTATAATAACAAACCTAATTTGTAGCTCAGATGGCCAGACCAAAATTTTTTAATATAAGCTAAGCATAGTGTTTTTATTCTTTTTAAAAGGTATGTATAAAAATAAAACAAAGAGTAAGTGACAGACACTGTATGTGATCTGCAAAATCCAAAGTATTTCCTATCTAAAATATTTACTATAGAAAAAGTTTTTTGACTCCCATTCTGGAGAATTACAGAATAAGAATATTATTCTTAAAAAAAAAAAAAACTAGCCCCTGTTACATTTTCTTTAGTCCACAAAAATAGGTTTTTTTTTTTAAAAAATAATAATACAATCATCTCCAAGGATGCAGAAAAAGTATTCATCATTTGACTAAATCCAACATACATTCCTGATTAAAAACTCTCAGCAAACTAATAAAAGAACTTCCTTAACCTGATAAAGGACATTTTCAAAGAACCTATAGGTAGCATTATATTTAATTATTTAAAAAACAGAATGATTTTTTTCTCAAGAAAGGAGAAAAATATGTTTACTCTTATTTCTTCCCAACACTGTGATAGCTTAGTCTAGCCAGTGCAATAAATCAAGAAAAAGAAAAAGCATCCAGACTAGAAATGACATAAAAATATATTTATTAATGAAACTCAGGATTCTCTATATAGAAAATCTGATGGAGTTGTCAAAAAAAACCTACTAAAATTAACAAATTTGGCAAGTTTGTAAAATACTACACCAGGGACTGGGGTTGTGGCTCAGTGGTAGAGTGCTCACCTCACATGTGCAAGACCTTGGATTCGATCCTTAGCACCACATAAAAATAAATAAGTGAAATAAAGGTATTGTGTCCAACTACAACTAAAAAACAAATTTAAAAAAATACAAGACCAATAGACAAAAATGTCTTTGCCAATATTAACAAATTCAGAAACTGAAATATGAAAAAATTATCATTTACAATAGCATTAAAGGTATAAACTATTATTCTAAGACAAAAGCTATTTAGTATCTGACCAAAGAAGTGTAATTGAAGACCTGTAACTGAAAACTCCAATACTGCTGAAAAGTGAAATGAAACCCAACTAAATGGATAGCTACACAGTTCAGAAGACTCAATAATGTAAAGACAGCAAATCTCCTGAAACTAAGATGTAGATTTTAATCAATCCTAATCAAAAGCCCAGCGAGCATTTTTGAAGAAATTGAGAGGCTCATTATAAAAATCTTATGAAAATGTAAAAGAACAAGAATAGCCAAAATAACTTTAAAAAATCATAAGTTAAATAAATACTACCTGATTTAATGATCTATTATAAAATTACAGAAATCAATGCTGCATGGAATTGAAATAAAGTCAAAGAAAACACTGGAATACAATAGATGGTCCAGAAATAGAATCACACATATATACACAAATGATCTTTGATAAAGATGCAAAGGCAATTCAGTAGAGGAACAACAGTTTTCTCAACAATTGGGATTGGAAGAATTGGATATACATATTTTTTTAAAAAATAAACTTTGAGCCTTACCTGAAGTTTCACATACAAATTTTATGCCATTTACAAAAATTAACTCAAAATGGAAAACAGACCTAAAACTGTAAAATTGAAAACTATTAAATTTTTAGAAGACTTTTGAGGCCTCAGAGTAGTATTTTAAAATTTAAAAAAGTATTTTTAAAATACAATGCCAAAATCACAATCCATGACAGAAGGTGCTTAGGAGTGACTGAGGAGGCTGAAATGGGAGGATTCCAAGTTCAAGGTCAACCTGCCAACTTACTGAGACCCTGTTTCAAAATGAAAAACAATAAAAGGCCTGGGAATATAGCTCAGAGGTAGAGCACCCTGGAGTTCAATCCCCAGTACCAATTTTAAAAAAAGAATTGATGAATTGGACCTTATCAAAATTAGAAAAAAGCCTACTGTTTAATAAAAACTATTAAAGACAAGTTACATACTGAGAGTAAATTTACATATATTTGGTAACAGACTTTCAGAACATTAAAAAAGAACACTTGAAACTCAAAAAGAAGAGGAAGGAATAAATTTGATCTCAAACTTCACCAAAACAAAACAAAACAAAAACATGTGAATGACAAATATACCCAAGATGCTCAACATCACTATTCATTAGAGAACTATGAGCTTTAGAGAATATAAACTTTAGTTTAAAAAAATGTATCAATAATGGTTAAAAAAAAATTAGGAGCCAGGAGGTGCAGAGAACTTGGTTAGCATATGTGAAACCCTGACCCCAGCTCCTTAGCACTGGAAAAATAAAAAGGCATAAAAGCATCCTGGTGGGCATAAGGATTTTAACCCATCCTAAAGAATAAATTCCCCTCCAAATAGCTTCTTTTCTAGGACTTACTTGAGCCTTGAGGCATTTGGACGGCTGTGTTTTCCTGAAGTTGCCAAACTACCTCTTAGTGGTAGTCTTAAAAGTGTTTGCTCCTGTGAGAGTTGAAGCTGAGTACAGGTAAGATGATATGTCCACTCACTGAGGAACAACTTGTGTTCTGGTGTGTCAGTCCCAGGGTGGAATATTAGCTTAAGTCTTTGGTCTTAAGAATTGGCCCTCAGATCTCTTCTTGCCCTGGTTCATAGGTTCTTCTTCCCAGTAATAGGCCGGTGTTTTTCCCATTCTCATCCAGCACGAAACTCCTTGGAAGCTCTACCCTCCTCCTCATAGGGACACTTCCTCATTTCTGCCACAGTAGGGGTCCTTATCAGACTCCATGATGTAAGATGACTTTCTCGGGGCTGTATAGTTAATTTTCTTTATGCCCATTTATGCTCTGAAGGAACTGGATAATCTAATGGCTCCTCATGACCATGTCCAAGATTTTCAGTCCCAATCTTAAATGTTTTGCACAGTTGTTAGGCACAATTATAACCCTTTTTGAAAAAACATTGAAATTCCCACTGCAATCATGCTAAGAAGAACCTTCTGGAAGTAATTGCCTTATTCTAAATCAAGTTTCTCAATTCTGAAGCATTGGCTCTAAACTTTAGGTGAAGAGCCCCCTTTAGGCAGCAGGTAAAAACTCTGAACCCTTTCCACACATAAATATTTACATAAAAATGTAAAACTTTGCTCCAGTGATTTGCCATGCAATATATGGCAATTCCTGTGATGATGGAATTGCCAGGCTATCTGTCACACTGCCAAGGCATGTTTTACCACTGGCCTTTAAGTGAATTTTAAATAAGTTATATAACATGACGATTACAGTGCATGTTTAATCCTCACAACAACCCCATGAGGAGATAGTAATATCTCAATTTTACCCATGAGGAAACCAAAACCCAAAGAAATCTAGAGATTCGCCAAAGTTCACATTGGTCATAAAGGCAGCACCAGGAAAACAACACAGCCTCTTTGTAGTCTATTCAAAACATCTTCAAATAGAACATTTTCTGTTTAGGAATCTGAGTCCTTGGTGGCTACACAGGCGAAACCCAATGTCAAGCCCATTCAGCAAGGTGAGAGGCCTATGGGACGCTTCAGGCTGAAGCCCAGCATGCTATTTATGAGTGTACTTTCCAAGAATTACTGCCAGCAGGAATACCAGAAGGCATGCCATTGGTATTATAGGCACTTGGGTCCAGAATTTAAACACTGTTTAAAGAAAAACAGAATCAAACCTGATGTCCTCCATGGCAGGACAAGCTTGCCTTTTGTGCTTTTCTTTTCACCATCATTGTGAATTATTTGGTCCCTTCCCAAGAACTGCAGAGAGTTGGAAGGAGAGCCAAAAACACCTAAGGAAAAGGCAGATCATCTACCACAGGGAAAATATGAGAGCTAGAAGACAAACCTCCAAACCTCATAAAGGACTAAGATCCTGGGAGATTTGTAAAAATGGTCATAAACAATTCCAGCAGGGAAAGACAGGGTGAAAACCACTCTGTAAGCCATATGCCAGAGATGTTAGAATCTCCAGCTAGTTTCAGGCTGCATTCTTTATGACCCAGAATGCTTCCTTTAGAAACCACTCAAAAAAGCAAAGTTAGGGAAGCTTTGAGACTTTATGCCACCATTTCTGAGGTGGTGAAGCTGAACTAGATCAGCATAAATTAAATGCTGTCCAAGAACTCTCATAATTATACCAAAGTTTTCAATAGCCCCTGGCAAATGAGAAAATTATGGTGATGTTGTTGTAATTTTAGTAAGAAGACCTACCCAACTTCAAGCACTATACCTCCATCACAGTACCACAAACACTGGACATCTTTCAAAATGTCTGATAAAATGAAAGTAGCAGAGCCAAAGGCCTTTACCTAGCTTTGTTTTCATGGGTTAGTGTGAATCCAGGCAAGAGCCTTAGTTCCAATATCTTTCAGGCTCTGACTAGGCAACCCAAGCCCCTCCCAGTTACCATCAGAAGCAAATATCTTTGATCAGTGTGGGAAAGGGTTCCAAGACTCAATCCTAAACTACCAATCTTGCTCCCCCCAGACTCAAAACTCACAGATGTTCTTCAGTGCCTGCTTCACAGCCCCAAACCTACATAAAACTCTCAGATGGCCCATATGTTCTCTATACCCTGCATGAGGTTTTTTAAAAAACCCTATACATTAACATCTCCCTAAAGAGGCTCTCCACCAAGGGGTGAAAACTGAGGAATTTTTGTACTGTCTCATTCTCAGGCTCAGCAAAGACCCTTATACTCGGATCTCTTCTACAGAAGCAGTGTTTGTTCTGGGGGCCTGGGTCTTCATGGACTTCAGTGACCCATAAATTAGATATGATACCAGCTTCTTTTTCTTCAGTTTCTTCTTTGTCATTTGGGGAGAAGAATGTTTCTTCTTTCTTCTATACATTTTCCAAGATGATCACAATTTCTTTTTTCTCCCTTTTCCACATAGCCTGATGGCCAAGAGAGAGTGTGAGGTGAGTTGTGGCTGAACTACCCTCAGGAGTGCAGAGGGCACTTCAGGAAAGGGGAAGAGGTGACATTATCCCTCCCACTGTGGTAGCAGGCATGGCACTTGAGGACACAGGAAGTCTCTTGTTCCTGATACACTTCAGACTCCTGTCCAGCACTTATAATGTTAACCAGCTTCATCCCAAAGAGAAACTACAAGAAGGGTCTGAATATTTAGCCTACACAAGTCAACTGAGCAATTGAAAAGGTAACCTCAGAACCTGTTCTGGGGAGCTCCAAATGTCTCAGACTTCTTTTTACCTATGCACAGAAAAGGCAGCCCTTGGAAACCCATTTCTCACCTTCATGCCATATAGTCAGCTATGACATCTCCCCACAATATATGCAGCCTTCTAGAGCAGGAAAGGAGTCTTGTTCATCTTTTACCCTCAGTACCTAGCTAGTACTTGTCATGTAGAAGATACTCAAGAGTTTGTAGGAAGAAAGTAGGTAGAGGGAGAAGGAAGCAGATTTTGTCTTTCCTGTTTTTGTCTGTTTTTCATGAAAGTTTCTGCCACTACCTTCTCTTTCTTTATCCCTTCCTCAATGTTCATTCATCTTTAGATAATCTCTATCTAAATCATTTTATCGACTCCTGACCCTACTTCTGTTGCTGTAGCCTAATTTATTCATCATTTTTACTGTTTATAATCTCAACTGGGTTTCGCTTTGCTTACTCTCCTTTTTTATCATTTTTTGCCTCATCTAATTTTTTTTTTCCTTTATGGCAAGGATCAGACAGACCTAGGGTTATGTGAAAGGGGAAGGAATAGCTCAGAAGAAATTCTCTAACCACTCAAAAAGCCAAAGCCCACGAGTCCAGTAAATAAAAGCAATTCCTTTCCTTTCCCCCTTGTCTTGTTCCAAAGGATGAGAAACTTCTATTCATGCATTTTCTAACCCATTCTCTGGCTTTTTCAGAGTTGTCCCAAAAGCTCTTCCAGTTACCATCAACCTAGAAATGGACACTTCCAAGGGTCTGTAGCCCCACCCAACATGAGGAATGACCAGTACTTTGGCTTCCAGCACATTGTTCCAAAGGGGAAGCCCCAGGTCCTGTTTTGAGTGAAAGCAAAGGCCCCCAACAAGCACCCCAAGGCTGGAAAGTGTGCTTTGTTAACACCATTGCCATATCCCTTGTGTCTCCATCCTATTTTCTGATCATAATCCAACTTCCCACATAGCTGAATACCACTTGAGTTCCCTCTTCCCAGCTCTAACCTGGATTTGAATGTTTTTGATCTCATTTTCTCACAATGGAACAAAATCTAGGCTATTTAAGAATTCCAACCCAGGTTCTCAGTACTATAGTCCAGCAGCACAGAAGACAGGGTTCCAGAGAGTGAGGACAAATGGCACATGCTAATGTATCAGGTATTTTGGTGACTTAAAAAAGGAGGAAGAGCTAAGAAAGAACAGAAGCAAACTACCCAAGATGACTCTCCCATTTCAGAATGTGGATGTCTAATTGACATTATGTAGCTACTGTCCTGACATCAGGAAGAAGTTCTAAGCAGACCACAGAGAGCCCACTGCAATGAGTATCCACTCCAAGCCGTGATTCCTGCTGCTCTGACACCCCTTACTGGACACCACACCCTCTGAAGAGTATCCAATCCCAAATTATTAACAGCCCTTACATCTGAACTACTATTTAATTATTTATCTCTGCAATATTCTATCTTCCAGAACCACTTACAGTGACAAGGTACAGATTTAGGAGAAAGGAAGAGGTAATTTTCTTCTAATTCCAGGTTGGTCCCTTTAGGTCAGATATATCTCACCCTGTTTCCCAACAACTGTGATCAGTCTCTAATTGCTACCACTGTTCATGTGAATATTCATATATAGATTTAACTCATTTAAATGGGCTTTAGAAATCTCTCACAACGTATACTAAAGGTAGTTCTTCTTATCACCCCCTGCTCAGATTTACCAAGAATCTATCTCCTTTTCCCATTGTAACCCTCCCCACCTCATAATGCCCAACAAGTCTGGTGAGCTTAAACCCAGATTCTATCTAGTATTTCAGGGTTCCAGGTTAGGACCATCAGAAATGTTTGCCTCATGAACAAACTTCAGAGCTTTGTGCAGCCCCCACACCCACTTAAAACTTATATTCCAGAATGCCTATGCTGAAGAGCAAAGAGGAATCTCCCCCTGACCCAGGGAAGGAAATTACTGAGGATAATATTCTTGTATTTAATCCCTTGAACCTAACAGTACACTTAACTGTTGAGTGACATCAAAATGATTTAAAAGTCATTTTGGTAATTATTTTTCTTCCTGCCCAGAAAGGAAAATGGGAAAAATACTTCATTGTATCAGAAGACAGAATGAGAGGGCTTTGGTAGGGAAAAGGGGCAGAAGGAAAATAGGTGGTGTCCTTATGGTGGAAAACCCTTAGGTTTGTGTCGCTTAGCAGTGAACTGCAAATTGGGGACAGGGTCTGGGTCTGTGGAACCCTAACTCATTTGAGGCTTCACTAATTTGATGGGTAGCGTCCCAAGGAGATCGCACCAATGGTGGGAAGCGTGACCTCTCTCAAGTCGTTATAGAAACCTGGCTAAAAATCCTCAGCCTTGTGCTAAACAGATGTGATCTGCTGGGTCGGCAGCTGAAGCTCGCTATTTATGGGCTGTGAGTACAGCCTCCACCCAGTTTAATAGCCACTGTATGTCCCCTTCCCATGACAGGCTTCGAAACTTTGCCAGAGGTCCCTCCAAAGACCATCACATAAGTCCGTTACAAAATTTAACAGGGCTTGCTTAGCTCCGACCTAATCCCATCCTAGAGACGGAATTTTCTTTTCCTAAGGCCACTGTCACCACAAGAATATATGGCTCTGCTGCAGTTCAAGGACTTAGCAACGGTGCTCCAACCCTGCAGAGCTTCCTTCCCCCAGGGACCACCTAACGGAAAGACCACCCCTCCCGGCCAACGCCTTCCAACTGCCGTCCAGGGGGTCTCCCGCGCCCGCCGCCAGGGGCGCCCGGGAAGGTGGGGCTTCCAGGGCCTCCAGCAGGGGTTAGGCCAAGGGCCTGGCCTCTGTGGCTTCCTTCCGGTGACCAGCAATGCTCCTCTGCAGCGCCCCCTGGACGCACTCGCCGGGCGTCGGTGGCGTTGGGCGTCAAGCTCCATCGCCTCTGCCCGGGGTTGCACCGGGAAGCCCTAGGGAAGCTCGGCGGTGGCCGCCCCGGGCTTTGTTCTGCTTGAGGGTTTCCCACACAAACGCAGGGGACCCCGGTGGCGGGGTTTTGAAAGGCCACAAGCGCTGGGGACACTGGGAGCCAGGAGATGAGCTCCAGACCTGCGCGGGAGAGGAGGACTGCCCTGGCCCTTTTCCTTTCTTTCCAGCCTCCGTTCATTGTCTGAATTGGCTGGCAGTCGCCAACTCCTTTGGATCTTATGGCGGAGCAGGTGCTCAACCCTGCGTGGAAATGAGACAGTCTGTCCCTTTCCTTTCTGCCCTCTATTGAGAGGCCCTCCTATTTGCCAGCTCCTGCCTCCCTCATCTGGCAACGAGCAGGTCTCTCCTGCCATCGCCCTGTGGTGGCCAGGGGCCGCTTCTTCTGAGGCAGCTGGGGCATCTGTTTCCTTGTTTCTGGGTCTTTCTGGCATCTTCTATGGTATCTTTTCACCACCCTCCCCCAGGCCTCATTTACCACAGACGTTTTATGTTGAGAATTCCTTCAGGTGCAGAGATTTTTGTTCAGGGAAAACAATATTCACTGGATTTGTGTGGTTTTGTGCTCAGTTATTAAACTCAGACATTTAATAAGCCATCTTTAAAAATATTCACTCATTGATTATAGGTTTAGTTAATATACTATCCCCCATAATTTTTAGATTACAAAGTTAGTATGGTTGAGTCTTTCAAGCACTTCAGTGGCTTAAACCACAGATACAACGTATATACTGCAAAAACGTGAATAGCTTTATATGCCCAACAATTAAGCTTCATTTCTTTCACACTTTCCCAGGGTGGGGAGGAGAGAGAGAGCTGCTCAGATAATGACAGTTTATGACTGATGTTTTCCAGTTCCCTTTTTGTTATCTGTATTTTCAACTATGTAAATGGATTTATAAAGACATTTTCAGTTTCTGAAGTGTCAGACCTGCAGAGACTATGGGAACAGGGAAGACTAGACAATTTGTGTCTGCTCCTCTGGGGAACCTTCGGTACTACTCCCAGGCCTTTCGCACATATGCTGTGCCAACATCCAGGGAAAGAGGCTTGGGCAGCCTAGGAGAGAGCAAGAGTATACTGTTGTGGAAAGAGTAAGGGTTCTGACCCCCATTGGAGAAGCACAGAAACCTAAGGGATTCATTGTACCTCCCCAACTGAGGAACCCCCACACCACCTTGCACAAGTGTGTGTGTGTGTGTTTGTGTGTGTGTAAGACAGGCAGGTATAGGAGTGATTTGGGAGCAGATAACCCTGCCAGTAAGGGCTTCCCATATTTTAGTCAATTTTCTGTTCTGCTCACATTCATTGGTAAGTCGAAGACCAGATTCCAAATTAATGCTAACAAAGTTTTCAAAATAATTTGGGAGAATCTAGATATTGGGACTAAGGCTTAAAAATCAGAACCAGCTTTCATTTAACTTCTCCCACCTATTAAGTGTGTAAATCTTGGAAAGTTATCTAAACTTAGAGACTCTGATTTTAATATCTCTAAGCCAGTGACAACACTGTCATTGTAAGGGTTATGAGCCACCACAGCACCTGTGATAGTCAAGGCTCGCCTCACAAGACTCAGTAGCCCTATTCCTGCTCTTCTGCCCTTTCCTAACTCAGGCACCTATGGCTTCCTTTAGCCTCTGTGGAAGAGCTAAGATGTTTTCCTTTTCAAAGGGCCCGTTGCAGACTCTGAAGAAGAGTCTCTCACAAACTTCAAGGCTGGGGTCCAGGGTCCTGGGTCTCTGGAGCATCCTGAGCAGAGCTGGAGTCTGATTTACCCAGGGGGGCATGGAGAGTGTCACTCAGGCTTTGACCTGAGTGGATTCCCAGTCTAAGCTGACCTAATTGCCTCCATGCCCTCTGCATTCTCCGAGAGGGAATACCTCAGTCACAGGATCTCAGGATATAGTCCCCTCCTCCCAGTTAAGATTCCACCTCCTCCATGGCAAGAACTGTGTCTGGGACCTCTGCCTGAAGTCCTGCCTCCCCAGCAGGGCCCCATCATCCACTCTCCATGCCTACCCTACTACCTTCCACTGTGACCCCAGGGGGGTCCCTTACCCTGTATTTTGCCTTTACCCTTTTCCCGTGGATGCTAGAACACAGCACCCCAACAGGCTTTGGCATGAACAAGGAAGGGGGGAGCTCACATATCTGATGAAAGAGATTCCCTTACCAGGTGGGGGACCCTCAGTCAAATATCATGCCCCCAACTTCCTTTGGGTCCATTTTATTTGTTATATCCTCTCCCTGGTGCACTGAGAGCAGCCTGTTTATCTCCTCACTCCCCAATCTGTCCCCATCTGTCGTTTTCTAAAGGGTCTGATGACAGATACATCAATCTAAAGGAAGCCTCTCTAGCTTTGAAAGTGTGGTTTTGAGCATCAGCACCTGAGAACCATCAGATCTGGTCTGTTAAGGAGTAAGGGTCTTCCATGCAACCCCTGACTCAGATCTGAACCTGCGTGGCTTGTTTGCCCCAAACAGATGTGCCTCAGTAGCTGGACACCGTCATGATTCTGTGACAAGTGTGGGATTTTCAGGGTGGATATGAAGGAATAGTTAATCCCTTTTATTTACTAGTAAAAGAACATGCTTTGATCATGAGTGTCAGGGAAGTGGGAGAAAATTATGCATGGAATGGAAAAATACAGTCTAAATTCTAAAGTAACAGAGGAAGAAGGAAGGATAAGTAGAAAAATAGGAAAAGCAGAAGAAAAAACATACAAATAAATGATCAGCAAAGTACAATAAAAGAAATAAAAAGTATAGTATAACAATTATTTTATAACACAAATAGCTGAACTTTCCTGTTAAAAGTGACTGTGTGATCGAATTTTTTCTTAATATGTTGATACTGTATTAACAATTAATATGATTAAAACAAAAATACTTCCACAATGTTTAAAAATAAAGAAATGGACAAATTCAAATAAATATATGTATATCAGAAGGCAAAAACAATGGTGGTACCTGTGGAGCATCACTGTTAGGTGGCAAGAGTGGTGAGAGTGGAAGCTGGAGACAGATACAAAAGATTTTAAACCATGTTACAAAGAATGGATTTTACCCCAGTGTGGCCAGTGCTCACTCCCCTTTTGGTCTCCTAGAAATGAAAACAAACAAAAAAAAAAAAGGCAGGCGGTGGGGCACAGTGGTGGAGGGTTCGCCTACTTGCAGATGCGGTAGGTTCAAGCCTTAGTAAGGCAAAAACCAGATAGACATGCAATTCAGCAAGATGCGTACTGAAATAGTAAGTTGAGAGAAAAATATTCCAGACATAAGCATGTAGTAGATAAAAGATAAGGCAGAGAAAGGGGAGTAGAAATAGCAGCAAACAGTGAAATGGATCGTGAGCAGGGATGAGGGTGGAAAGACGAGAGCAGAAGGAAGAGAAGCAAGCAACAAAAGACAAAAGTGATCAAAAGAGGGAGCAGCATCAGAGAGCTCCGGGAAGTGGGAACAAAGTGGGCAGATTCAGACACTAGGTTCAGGGCCCTGCTGCCAACTAGGGTTCTCTGACCTTGCAGTGAGCTCTCTGGCCACACCAGCCCTTCCCCTTAAGTCTCAGCTCCAAGGGAATGGGAGAAATATTTACAAGGTTTCAAATTTGAGAGAGGATCAGAAGAATAAAGGCCAAGTTAGAAGGGGTTGACTAAATGGACCGGGGATGGAAAGGCTAAAGAACATTGTGTTCTAAAAGCTCCTATATAAAATTGGGCAAGTTACTTGAAGTTTCTGTTGCTCAATTTCTTCAACTATAAAATGAGAATGAAGTAATAGCGCCTACTTCCTAGGGATGTTGGGTGGGTAAAATGAGTTCCATGTGTGTAGCTGTGTTCTAGCTTCTCAATGTTAGCTGATATTATTGTTGTTCCTCTATCCAGACACAGGCTCCTGCAGCCACAAACCTGGTACCCACTGTGATGTCATATACTTTCAAAGACCCATCAGGGTTTTTCTGACTTATTGGAGGAGTGGGGATGCATAAGGAGAAAAAGGGGTGTCACTGTGGGTTTTGAGATGCCTGTATAGATATTTAGAGAAGGGAGATGACCTACTGTCCCTGTGGAACCCTGCTGTGACAATTAGGCGCTGGTCTCACTTCTTACAGAGTGTTTCCCTTAATTATAGGTATCACATCTAGAACTTGCTTGCATATTATTTTCAGGACTGTCTATGGGCCATCTGTGCAATAGGGAAGTCCATTTGGGGTGTTTCATGCCCCTTCCACCTCTTTTTCTCAGGTAGCCAGTATAGTCTTGTACTTTCTCTCTTCCAAAGGTTAGAATATGTTCTTCCCTCTCCCCACCCCCAAATGAATCATTGGCTCACTGTAAGGATGTGAGAAAGTCTGAACAAGGTCTTCTGGGGGTTTTCATTATAATAGGGGCCAGTCCCTTGAATAGAGCCATGAAGCTGCCTGGAGTTTCAGTTGTGAAAGAGAATCCCTCCTGGCTGAGGAAGGTTCTTGAAGATAGGAGGAACTTAGCTGCAAGCCCACTCAGGATACTCATCTTCCTCTTTGGTTGTGGCTTGTGGAATTTATATCTAGAAATAAATTCAAAAGTGTGTTGAAATGAGGCTACTAGGTCAAGGAGTGGGGCTGAGTGGAGCTGGTGTTTGGGCTAAAAGGCCTCTGCAGGTGTGTGCTCTTTGAAGATCCCTATCATTGCTTCAGAGTCCTGCCAAGCAAATGCCTGAGGATGGTGAATTACCCTTGGTGGGGTGACACATTGGCTTTCT